GGACCTTCGAAAGCGTACGTCTATGCAGTGTTTGACAGTCCTGCTGTGTTGGGTCCTCGTTAGAAATTCGCATCGCCCCGCGTCTCACTTCTTCTCCTCGTCCTCTCCTGCTCTCCTCTTTCTCCTCATCCGTGTCACCAGCATCATCATCACCATCATCATCATCATCATCATCATCATCATCATCATCATCATCATCATCATCATCATCATCATCATCATCATCATCGTCATGATCATCATCACCATCGTCATCCACATCATCACCAGTAGCAGCATCATCATCATCATTATCACCATCACCAGGATCAGCATCATCATCAGTATCATCGTCATCATCATTACCATCATCAGCAGCATCTTCATCGTCATCATCATCAACATCGTCATCATCATCACACTCTTCATCAGCATCTGCACCTGCACCTGCACCTGCACCTGCACCTGCACCTGCACCTGCATCATCATCATCATCATCATCATCATCATCATCATCATCATCATCACCATCACCATCATCATCATCGTCATCATCATCGGCATCATCATAATCAGCAGCATCGTCATCATCACCGTCGTCGTCGGCGTCGTCGTCGTCATCAGCATCAGCATCGTAATCAGCAGCACGAGCATCAGCATCGTCAGCAGCAGGATAATCAGCATCAAAAACATTACCATCATGGTCATCAGCATCATCTTCGTCATCAGCATCATCGCCATCACAGTCATCATGAACATGATCATGATCATGTGTAGTGGTATAGTCAGGGGCTGCCTGACCTCTGAGCCCTAGGAGGCGCATCGGACCCCCTAGGGAAATGGTAAATTGCTCAGGGCGGACGCTATTGTCGCCCTCACAGCGCACTGATTACCTGGAGCGCGAAACTACACAGGGCAGGCCAGGTGGGACGTATTGTCCCCTACCGGCACAATGATGCTACATAGGAACTGTAGTTCACAAGAGTAAACTTGTGCAACCATTTGCTCCTTTTGAGAAATGTTCACAAGGCCTGTTGGAGCCGCCGCGGCCTATGCTTCACAAGAGCGCACCTTGTGAAATGTTGCCTAGCCACGCCGCAGAGAGAAAGGAGACAAAGATAGTCCCCGCCTCAAGACAAAATGTCAACGAGGACTATACAAAGGGTCAGCTGTAAAGACGAAAAAGGTGATCCCTAACTGCACAAGGAAGTTCGAAAGGCATGCAAGTCAGTAGACGAGCGTGTTGACGTCGATTTGCGCATCACGAATTCGTTGCCGATGACGCCGCCGGAGAACATAACACTACAGAGCAGACCTGAGCAGCGCAAGCCTGGGACACGATCCACAGACCAGGGTTTCTCAGTGGGTCTCTCACCCCCGCACTGAGATGGTCTACGCCCTCAGTGGGTCTCTCACCCCCGCACTGAGACGTCCGCCAGGCCTCGAAACCTGGAGCGCCGAAACGCTGAGTCCATCCAGACAGACGTGAACCTTGGCCCTGGTGCCAACGAGTGCACTGCAACATCCACACAATAGCGTCAAGCTCACCAGAAGCAAACACCAGCGGTCCCAGCGCGGTGGCTGGGTCGACACCGACCGTAAATCAGCATCTCCCTCATGTCCCCCAGTCAAGAGGGTCTGTAGACGCGACAGTAATGCCTGCGTGACCTCTCACATCCGCAGACATAGCCGATCGCCCCGGCCGCATGAGGTACACGGCGTAGGGGGGTAAGGCGCTCTCACCGCCCGCCCCCCTGATCATGATCATGTAAAATCACCACGACCACCACTACCACCGTCGTCGTCGTCGTCTTCGTCGTTAGCATCACCATCTTCATGCTCTTCACCACCATAATGATTTTCACCACCGTTTCACCACACCCCTCACATGTCAAGGCCCCAGTGGCTGCGTCGCATGGGACCACCCTGCAGACTTCGGCACACCCTAAAGCTCTTCGTGGCTCCGTGAGGGCTTCACCGAAGGCCCCAGTGGCTGCGGCCGCATGGGTGCACCCCGCCAATTTCGGCACGTCCTCACACGTTTCGCGGTCCCAGAGAAGCTCCACCGAAGGCCCCAATGACAGGGTTCACAGTTTGACCCGCCCTATTTCGGCACACCCATCACACGTTTCGTGGCTGGGATCACATGATGACCCGCCTCACTTCGGCAGAACCCTCACACGCTTGGCGGCCTCATAGGGAGCTCCGCCGGAAACCCTCGTGGCTTGGTTCACCTGGTGACCAGCGCCATCTCGGCACACCCCTGGTACGTTTCGTGGCCCCACAGGGAGCTGCACCGAATGCGCCACTGACTGGGTTCATATGGTGACCCCTCCCACTTCCCCACTTCGGCAGACCGCTCACACGTTTCGCGGCTCCCAAGTGAGCTCCTCCGCAAGCCCCAGTGTCTGGATTCATGTGGTGCCGCCCCGTCCCATTTCGGCAGACCGCTCGCACGTTTCGTGGCCTCATTGGGAGCTCCGCCGAAAGCACCAGTGGATGGGTTCACATTGTGCCCCGCCCTATTTCGACAGACCCCTCTCACGTGGCGTGGTCCCCTACGGAGCTCGACCGAAGACCACAGTGGCTGGGTTCATATGCTGTCCCGCCTCAGTTCGTCACACCACTTGCACGATTCGTGGCCCAATAAGGAACTCCACCTGCGGTCGCCTGCGGCCCCGCCCTATTTCGGCGCACCCCTCACACGTTTCGTGCCCCGATTAGGAGCTCCAACGAAGGCCCAAGTGGCTGCGGTCGCATGCTGTCCCGCGCCGTTGTCGGCACACCCCATGCGACCCCGCCCCATTGTCGTCGCACCCCCATCAGTATGTTCATGCGCATTGAGCGGTCCTGCACATAGTCGCCACGCTTTAGCAGAGGGGTGGGTTCTTCGCTGGCTAAAGTAATTGTCTTCTTCGAGGCAAAGAACTAGCCACTGCGGGGGGGAGGATTAACAACAGTAGTCTTCCGCCGCTGACGCAGATGTTGGAGATGCAGGCGACGGAAAATAAGACAACCTGTCTTTACGCCTAGACATATAGGGAGAGAGAGAGAGAGAGAGAGACGCCCTCCCACTAACTCTGCATGCGCCTTCAGGGAGGGAGGCGGTGTGCAAAGCCGCTGGCTCCCAATGGTGCCTTGTGCACCGCCACCCTCCCTGGAGGCCCAGGAACAATCCGTTGGAGTGCACCTGCGTACTTTAGTTCTGTGGCGGATCTGCCCTTCTTTGAGAGCAGCCGCCCGCGGCCGGCCGCGCGGGCCGCGCCTCCGCTCCTCCACGAAGGACTCCTCGAGCTTGCGCACCGCGCGCTTCGGCGGCAGCTCGGGGAGGGCGCACCCCAGGTTCCGGCTTTGCGCGGGGGGGGGGGGAGGAGGATTCGGATGGATCTGCTATCTTTTATGAGGGGGGAGACGGGGGGAGCGCGCCCACAAAGCTAGCTTCAGCCGATTTGGACTCGACCGGTGTGCGAATCAAAAGGTCGCCATGCATACTGGAAACACCACGCGAGCCGACCTGCGATAGGCAAGCACATGCATTGAACCGTGCCGCATGCGAGACGAGAGGAAAGGGCGAGGAGGAGAGAGCGCCAGGGAGGGAAGGAGGGGGAACGACGCAGGATGCCAAATGCGGCCGAGCGGCGGCCGGCACTAGACACGAGCTGTGCAAGCAGAGGCGCACGCACGGAGAGGGAAACAGCAAAACTCCACAAGCCGCCCCGGCACGGCAGGCAGAGCGGGCGGAGGTCGAGGCTAGCCATGGCCATACTCCACAGACACACGGTGGGGCGCAGTGAACGTTTCAGCGGTGAAAGGCAAAGAAGGACGAGAAAGAAGGAAAGGAGCGGGACGAGGACTTCTGCACCGAGAAGCAGGGCACCAGGACTTCTGCACCGGGTATATACCAGGAGGTGGTGTACTGTCAAAGCCTGAGCCCCTGAGTGGCAGGGCGAGGCTGCAGACAGGGGAGCAAAACGTGGCATAAACATAAAAACTCGGAGGTCCGCGCGGATTTCTCGGATCGGCGCTGGACCCCCCTCCCTGGCGCGCGGAGCGCGCCAGGGGCGGCGCCGGAGGCGCCGCCGGGGGGCCCCAGCGCCGATCCGAGAAATCCCCGCGGACCTCCGAATTGTTATGTGTATGTCTTATGGCATTTCTTGCTCCCGTAGCAAACGAGAGCGAAGCCCAACGAACCCAATGAGCGTCAGAGCTGGGACAGCAAGGCCGGCAGCCCCGAGGCTGGCGCGACCTGCGGGCCTCGACGCGCGTCCTGCGCACACGGGTCGGCGCCCGCGCTCTGGCGCGGCAACGGCCCCATGGAGGCCGGGCGCCTCGCCCCGCAAGCACGAGGAGGGCAGGGGAGGGGAAAGGGGGGGGGAGGGGGGAGGGGGGAGGGAGGGGGGAGGGGGAAGGAGGGGGGGAGGGAGGAGGGAGCAGGGGAGGGAGGAGCAGGGGAGGGAGGAGAGCAGGAGAAAAGGGGGGGGGAGGAGGCCAGAAGGGGGGAGGTGAGGCAAACACGAATGCCCCCAGCGATGCCGCGGGCGCGCCGCGGCTGGGGCATGCCGGCGCAGACCCTGCGTGGGCCAACACGGCGGCAGCCCATCAAAGACGCCAACGGAGCACGCAAACTGCGAGAGAAGAGAAGGAACGGAGGAAAAAGAGGAAACAGGAAACAGGAAAGGAGAGGCACATGCAACATGCGGGTGAGGTGGCACTGCGCGCTGAAGCAGGGGCCAAAGACGTGAACAACTGTCTTGACACACTTCAAAACGCCAGTGCGGCCACAGCGAATCATATTTGCCAGCGCCAAGTGTACACCTTTGGGCGTGAGGCAAGCTCGCGATATCCATCCAACACGTCTGACAATTCTGGCTTGCTTGGCTCTCAGAAATTCCCGGGGGCGAAGCCCTCAGAAACACCTCTTGGGCACAATGGTGGGGCCCGACTTATCGTACCCCCCCTGAAAATTCAGATCTGCTGTGAAATGCCCACCGAATAAATCCAACGATCCCCCTTGAGTACTTGCGCTCGGGCTGGACCACGGATTTTACTTCACTGTGAAACGAGCCAATGCCGTCAGCTCCATGGTCATGCGCTCGCCGACGCCTCGAACACCGTGATGCCACCAGGCAACATCACGCTGGCCTGCACGTGCTTGCGAATAACATCGCACTGCGTGAACGACTGGGGCGTGGCGTCGTGGATGCAAGTGGCTTCCTTGTCCTCGAAGCTGGGCTGGAAGAGCACCCGTGGGCAGCGGAAACGCTCGCTGCCCTCGGTAATATATGCTACCGTGGGGAGCTCGCACGTTTGCTCCTTGTCGGAAGCCTTGCGCGGCGGTCCTCGCCTTGGTGTCAACGCCGAGCGCGACGTAGCAGACCGCCTCCTTGACGTCGCGCGCGATCTCGTCCCCTTTCGCCGATGCAGGACAACGGGCGGGTCAGCGAAGAGGATCGGGGCTGAAATGGCCGGCCGCGAAGTAGCTCCCAAATGGGACACACAACGATACATTGGTTTAAATGTACTGGAGAAGGAGGAGGAGGAGGAGGAGGAGCCACGTCCGGTGAGGATCTTCATCAAGTGCTCCGTGGGGGTCCCGCCCCGCCAACTCCAGGCGCAGGGTCGCATGCGGCAGCGCAAAGCGTCCGCAAATTAGCACGGTGTGCGACCTGCCATCGCCGGAATCCATAACGATCCCCGTGGTGCGGCCGGAGGCGTACAGCCAAAAACATTGCATCGCGACGCACATCACCGGCACGTTGAGCGTCTCAAGCATGATCTGCGTCATGCGCTCTCTTTTCGCCTTCGGGTTCAGGGGCGCCTCCGTGAGTGGAGGGCGCCCCTCTGGAGCCACGCGGAGCCCGTTGTGCAAGTTATGGTGCCAGATCTTTTCCATATCGTCCTAGTTGGCCACGATGCCACGCTCAATGGGGTACTTCAGGGTCCGGACGCCGCGCGCGCTTGCTCTGGGCCTCGTCGCCCACGTAGCTGTCCTTCTGGCCCATGCCGACCATAATTCCTGGCATCTTCGGGCGGCCGACATTGGAGGGGAACGCGGCGCGCGACGCGTCCTCGCCCGCTGGGGCGGCCTTGCACACGCCACTGCGCCAGTTGCGCTGGCTGCGGGTCGCCCGAGCCATGCCATCGCACAACCGTCCGTGACGAGGATCCTGCTTGACTCTGCTGCCTAGCCATACGTCAGAATGCTGTAAAAAGTATGGAGATCCAATGCTCCTCCACTTCTGGCGCCCAGAATCCAGCTTCGGACCCTGTAGCGGGCGAGAAACGGTATAAAATAATTTGTTCCGTCGCCGGGGGCGCTGCCCCAGGGCGGCTGGGACGTTTGTGACGTGCCACCGGCAGGGTGTAATCTTGTCCAGCCGCCCTGGGACAAACGCGCCCAACAGCGAAAAAGTTCATGTTATACCGTTCTTCGCCTGTTGAACCCTGGGGCTGTCCAAAAAAATGATCCAGACGAGAGGCCGGTCCGAAAGGAAAGGGCCGAGAAGCCAGGGGCCCCAAGGCTCGGAAATGTCGAGTCGCCGTAGGTGCGGGCAACCGCCAAGACACGTCCAAGGTAAGAGGAAAACCTGGCCAGGCCAGACCATAACTCGTGAGAGCAGACGGTGCCAGTAGCCTTTCGACGGGGAGACTCGGCAAAATGAGTCACACATCGGATCTACAGTGCCATGAACGCACCGACTCTGCAGGGGGAGACCTTCTAGCAGAAGGAGGAGGAGAAGGGAGGAGGAGGAGGAGGAGGAGGAGGAGGAGGAGGAGGAGGAGGAGGAGGAGGAGGAGATGCCCCTGAGCGGACACCGTCTTCAAAAAGACCACCGCGCCGACTTTTACGCTAGAGCCAACGCTGCCCCCACAGCCTTGAATCCACGGAGCCTGGGGAGAACCCGAAGCAGGGAGAAAAAGGGCGGAGGGGGTCGCCTTCCTCCGTCCTCCTCCCTGGATGCCCTTTCTCCCTCGCCTCCAGGAACTCCCCATAATTGCCATCATATCTGGCGCTATCTCTTGGTTATGCGGCCTCCCTGGTGACAGAGCCCCGCCAGGGGGGTAAGGCCAGCGTCGACCGCTGCCCCTGATGCCAGCAGCGTGAACGTGAGGAGAGGAGGAGGAGGAGGAGGAGGAGGAGGAGGAGGAGGAGGAGGAAGAGGAGGAGGAGGAGGAGGAGGCGGAGAAATGGAAGGGAGGGGAGGGCAACGTCGACCGTCGACCCTGATGCCCGCAGCGTGAGCGTGGAGGAGGAGAGGAGGAGGAGGAGGAGGAGGGAGGAGGAGGAGGAAGAAGAGGAGGAGGAGGAGGAGGAGGAGGAGGAGGAGGAGGAGGGGGAGGAGACCGAGATGGTGGCGGTGGAGTGGGGGTGCGAGGAGGAGGAGGAGGAGGAGGAGGAGGAGGAGGAGGGAGGAGGAAGAGGAGGACGGCATAGGATGGAGGAGGAAGAGGAGAAAAGGAGGAGCAGGAGGAGGAGGAGGAGGAGACGAAGGCGGCGGGGGAGTAGGGGTGCGAGGAGGAGGAGGAGGGGGAGGAGGAGGAGGAGGAGGAGGAGGAGGAGGAGGAAGAGGAGGAGGAGGAGGGAGGAGGAGGAGGAGGAGGAAGAGGGAAGAGGAGGACGGCATAGGATGGAGGAGGAAGAGGAGACAAGGAGGAGCAGGAGGAGGAGGAGGAGGAGGAGACGAAGGCGGCGGGGGAGTAGGGGTGGAGGAGGAGGAGGGGGAGGGGAGGAGGAGGAGGAGGAGGAGGAGGAGGAGGAGGAGGAGGAGGGGGAGGAGGAGGAGGAGGAGGACGAAGAGGAGCAAGAGGAGGAGGAGGAGGACGGAAGAGGACGGAAGAGGAGGAGGAGGACGACGAGGAGGAGGATGAGGACGTTTGCACTCGAGGGCCGGAGGGACAGCATTCTGGCGTTGCTGGCCCCGATAGCCCACAGCCTCTGCAGCTGCAAGCGGATCTTGTTGAAGATGACGAGCAAGACCGTCAGCAGGAGCGCAAGCCCTTGCCCTTTGCCTTGCCGTTGAACCGACCTTGTCCTTGCCCGCGCCCACAACGTGCGGCGGAGCGGTGACGGGCGGCAGGATTAAGCCATCCTCCTGGAACAGGGTCTTAAAGGCAAGTTGGTGGCCCTCCTTGTCGTTCTTGATCTTCGACGCGGCGTAGATGGTCATGGACTCCTTCGGGGCCTGCGCCTTTGTGATGCGCCCCATGTTGACGGACCAATCGTACTCGGTAGGCTTGAGCACGCAGGGAGACTCCGCCATGCACGCGGATACCACAACCGTTTCAGCCTTGCCGCCCAGCACATCCGTCATGAGCTTCGAGGGTGTCTCGAACTCCGCCTTTAGGTCGACAACTCGATCTGCGTGGAATTGGTGTCATTCTTAGCCCCCTTGTGGAACCGAGTGTTCTCCAGGATCGTGCACGTGGAGACTCCAGCCTTCTCAGCAGTGTCGCCCAGCATCTCCTTCATGAGCTGCGAGGGTGTCTCGAACTCCAACTTTCGGTCCTTCTGCATCAGCTCGTCCATCTTCTCGAGGTCTGCGTCGTTCTTGGTGGCCCCCTTGTGGAAACGAGTGTTCTCCTGGATCATCACGTCCTCGTTGCCTGTGGCCTGTGGCCGCGACGACCTCCAGCATGAACACCTGCTTCTTGAACTGCGCGGCCTTGCCCGAGAAAGTGCGGACATCGTTGATGATGGTCATCATCTGTTTCTGCTCCGTCAAGTGGCGGAGAACGCGGTAGCAGATGTCGAGGCGCTCCATTGACTTCGAGAAGAGCGCATCCAATAGCCCGCACTGCCGGGCCGCTCGCGCCGCCACCGTCAGCCCCTCGAATGACTGGCCGGCGAGATCCTCGAAGTGCTCGTGCATTTGCGCCCGAAGCTGGTACACGCGCATAGCACGTGTAGCGAAGTGGGAGTCCATGGCGCCTGACAAGCTTACCGCGGTCGCGCTCGGGGAAAACAAACAACCTTGAGCCAAAATGGCTTGAGCCCACATGGCTACGGAGAAGGAGGAGGAGGAGAAAGAGGAGGAGGAGGAGGTGGAGGAGGAGAAAGGGAGGGGAGGGCAGCGACGCCCGTCGACCCTGATGCCCGCAGCGTGAGCGTGGAGGAGGAGGGAGGAGGAGGAGGAGGAGGAGGAGGAGGAGGAGGAGGACGAGAAGGAGGAGAAGGAGGAGAAGGAGAACGCGAAGGTGGCGGGGAAGTACGGTTGCGAGAAGGAGGAGGAGGAGGAGGAGGAAGAGGAGGAGGAGGAGGAGAAGGAGGACGGCAGAGGATGGAGGAGGAGGAGGATGAGGAGGAGAAGGAGGAGAACGCGAAGGCGGCGGGGGAGAAGGGGCGCGAGGAGGAGGAGCAGGAGGAGGAGAAGGAGGACAGAAGAGGAGGAGAAGGAGGAGGAGAGGAGGAGGAGGAGGAGAAGGAGGAGGAGGAGGAGGAAGAGGAGGAAGAAGAGGAGGGGGGGTCGCCCGCGCCAGGCCCCACGCGCGGCGAGAGCTCCTGCCGCGCTGACGCGGGCCCCCGCCTCCCGGACGCCGTGCGAGCCGCGCGGCCGGGAGCGGCTCGCCCACCTCCCACCTCCCGGAGGCCCCCGAGCGGCTCCCGGCTCGCACCGTGGAGGCCGCCACGCGCCTCCTGGCCACCCCCGCCCCTGGGAGGCCACCCCCGCCTGCGCCTCGGAGGACCCCCCGCGTTTCGCAGGGGCTCCGCGCGGCCTTCGGGTGCTCTCGCGTCGCCCCCCCGGGGCCCCGCGCGGGCCCCCGGAGGCGCTCCGCCCAGGCCTGCGGCGTCTCGGCGTGTTCGATCTCGGGGCCCCGGGCCTCGCAGCAGCACTGCAGGCTCAACGACTTCGGCCGTCCTTGGGCTCGCGCTGGAGCGGCCGCAATCTGCTCCAACTTCCCCAAGAGATCTCTGGATTTACCTGGACTCACCCGGATGTGCCTGGACTTGCCTTGATTTATCTGCATCTACCTGGATTGATCTGCATCTACCTGGATGTATCTGGCTCGATCCCCAAAGCCGATTGGCGAGAAATCGTCAAACCCTCAGGGACAAACCCCCTTTGCCCTGGCACTGGCATCTCGGCCCGACCCGTTCTATTGCCGCCCCAGGGCCCGGCACTGGCTTCCAGAGGCCGCTGCACCGGATCGAGGTGCTGCGAGCCCGCCGCACCGCTAACACAGTGGAACGACGGAAGAACGTTTGCGTCGGCGGCTGGGCAGGGGACGTCTGCGCTGGCGGATGGATCAGGCCTAAACGCGGATGCCGTTAGAGCGAGCTGTGCCACCATTCAAGAAGAGTAGGTCAGGACGACGGAGCAACACTCGATACTTCTTCGACCGCCACTGCAGAACTCAGTGGGACTTCCGACCGGCCACAACAATTGGGGCCCAGCTCCAGGAAGACACTGGGGGGGGCGTCCTTTCTCGACAGAGGTTGCGTTCGGGCAGCCCCCTGGGTGTGTAGGGTGGGGGGGATTCGGGGACTGGCTGCGACACATCGCCAGTCACGTAAGGCCAAGACCAATCATAATCGAATAGGGAAAAAATCTGATCCAACTGGAGGGTGCGCCGGATCGGGCCGAATCGGTACGGAGTCGAACTCGTCGACATCGAGTCGTATCTGCTGTGCCAAGATGCGCCCAACAACTCCGCGCGAACATCGGACCGCCCCGGATCGCCAACAGATCGGAATCTGCTTGGACTGGGCCGGCGGGGATCGACCTCGTACCCGATCGATCGGGGAGAACTGGTTCCTGGCCCAAAACACATCTCGGGACTCGGGCGGCCAGCCAGGACGATCTGGGCACTCCCAGAATACGCCTGGCGAGGCGCAGCTGATGGAAGCCGCCCCGAGTTCAGAAAACCTCCGAGAACCCTTCAATACCCGTGCACGAGCAAGCAGACAAGCAATCGAGTCTGGCTGGGCGACTGCATGTGTCGCTGGCCGCACTGATGAGGGCGGGACATGAAGACAGTGAGACAGAACGCATGCCCGTGCAGATCAGGAAACACCCCTAACAAGCAACTTGCTCGCACGCGTGCACCGCCAATTACTGATGGCAGTGCTCGAATTTGGCTCACTCGAGACAAGAGGAAGGGCGGGAAGGGCGGGCGGGCAAGGAGCCTGACGCCGCATGCGGGGCACCCGTCCCCCGAAAACCGCAACCCGAGGCCCGCCTGCGTAGCTCCGTGTGCAACCACGAGAAGTTTGTGTACCGGCGCTGGCACGTGTAGGCCCGCTGGCCGCCCCCAAAGGGCGGCACGAGGCGCTCCACTCCGGTTGAAAGGATGGCCCTCAGCACCAGAGTCACCTCTCCTCCTTTTCCTCCTCCTCCTCCTCCTCCTCCTCCACCTCCTCCTCCTCCTCCGCCTCCTCCTCCTCCTCCTCCTCCTCCTCCTCCCCCTCCTCTCCTCCTCCTCCTCCGCCTCCTCCTCCTCCTCCTCCTCCTCCTCCCCCCTCCTCCTCCTCCTCCTCCTCTCCTCTCCTCCTCCTCCTCTCCTCCTCCTCCTCCTCCGCCTCCTCCTCCTCCTCCTCCTCCTCACCTCCTCCTCCTCCTCCTCTCCTCTCCTCCTCCTCTCCTCCTCCTCCTCCTCCTCCTCCTCCTCCTCATCCTCCTCCTCCTCCTCCTCCTCCCCTTCCTCCTCCTCCTCTCCTCCTCCTCCTCCTTCCTCCTCCTCCCTCCTCCTCCTCCTCCTCTCCTCCTCCTCCTCCTCCTCCTCATCCCTCCTCCTTCCTCCTCCTCCTCCTACATCCCTCCTCCTCCTCCTCCTCCTCCCTCCTCCTCCTCCTCCTCCTCCTCCTCCTCCTTCCCTCCTCCTCCGTCCCTCTCCTCCTCCTCCTCCTCCTCCTCCTCCTCCTCCTCCTCCTCCTCCCTCCTCCTCCCTATATATCCTATTCCTGCTTCCTCCCTCCCCCTATGATCCTGCCTCCTTCACACCCTCCTCCTCCGCCCCGTCCGTCCCCCCCCTCCTCCTTTCCTCCCTCCCTCGTTCACTCCCTCCGCCTTCCGCCCCCTCCCCCCCGTCGGCTTCCCTCCCCCTCCCATCCCCGGGCTCCGCCCTCCCCCTCCAGGTGCGAGGCTTGGCCCAGAGGTGCAAGCAGCTCGCCAAGCATCAGACCCGCAGCTAGTTGTCGTGGCCGAGTCTGCAGAAAAGTCTGCACCCGAGGCGCTCCGCACCTCGCGATGGAGACGGCCCGGGCCGTGGACCTGCCGTCAAATAATCTGATTGCTGCCCTGGGTTTGACGGGGGTCGAGAGGTGGGCACCAGCTCAGGGGGGGGAGACGATGACCTCGAATCGGCGACACACCTTGGGCGCCCGAATTATCCGGGGTAACTCGGGTCCGGGGTAACTCGGATTTGGATTCCCGAAAAAGAAACCCGAGTTAGCCCTGACCCGAATTACCCCTGATGATGTGGGGCTCTGGACGCCCGAATTATCCGGGGTAACTCGGGTCCGGGGTAACTCGGGTTCGGATTCCCGAACAACGAACCCGAGTTAACCCTGACCCGAGTTACCCCTGATGATTCGGGGCTCTGAACACCGCCGAGGGACCGGGAATGCTGTAATCCCCCGACGGCGACACCGCAGGCTGCCGGGCTCGATGGTTGGGAACCCAGGCCCCGCTTGGCGATGCATGGGCGAGGGCCCAATGCTTCCCCCCTCGGCCAGCACTCCCCTGCCGCTGCCCCTGCCGTTGCCCCCGATGCCAACCACCGGCCTGCGCTGGCGCGCCTCCGGCCGCCGCCGCGGCGCGTGCACCTGCCTCCCCCTTTAGAAGCCTCCGACGATCCGATCTAAAACAGGGCTAGGATCGGGATAAATCGCTCCAGAGCGTTCTGGAGCGCTCTCAGAGCGTTCCGGAACGCTCTGGAGCGGCCGCGGCGCCCAATACATCCTCCAAACCCGCCGATTCTCAGACTTCGAATTATCCCGATCCGATTTTGTCCCGATCTTCGTGTCGTTTTACGATCCGCTCAGGCCCCCGGGGCCCCGGACCTCTCGACCTTCTCCATGGGGACCGGCTCTGGACAGCCCCCGGGGCCCCCGACCTCTAGACTTGTGGATGCCATGACAAAGGACACTCTCAGAATCCTATCATTTACTTAAACAATGTGTTTAACATGTGTGAAAACAAGTTCTAAACATGTGTCAGACATGAGTTCTACAAATCTAAAACATGTCTGAAACATGTTTTCGACATCTGGAAGTTATTTGGCAACATGCTTCCTCTCCGTTAATCGACTTCCACCACTCTATCGGGCACCTGCTGACCCGGGTCAATCCAGACCCGGGTCAGTCAGGCCTTGCAGAATCCTGCAAGATCCTGCAAAATCCTGCACCCAAATCCGGGTCAATGCGAAGGATCCTGCAGGATCCTGCAGGATCCTGCACCCAAACCCGGGCCAATGCGACCCTGGCCCTGCAGAATCCTGCAAGGTCGGGGCGCTCTGGCTGACCCCCGTTTGCACTGACCCCCGTCTCGAGGCTCCCGACTCTAGACCCTCTCCCAGGGACCGGCTTGTCGTTCGCTCCCTGACAGCCTCGGGGTCCGGAGGCCGCACCTTGCAGGGAGAAGCCTCGGACTCCGAGTCTCTGGAGGTCTGGGGCCTCTAGACTCTGCAGGTTTAGGGGGAAACCAAACCTACCTCGCTTTTGACCACCCTCGCTTCCAAGAGATACCAAACGATGCCAAATTACAGCCTGTACTGGTCAGGCCGCTTGACGAGGAGGCGCGTGGTATGGCTTGGTTTTGCCTGGAAGCGAAAGCGGGGTAGGTAATTCACGCTCTGAAGGTTGCAGCTCGTGCCTCCGGCGGCCTTTCGAGACGCTGCTGTGGTAGCCTCCCAAAGGAGGCCCAAATGTCGCCGACGTCACCACTGCCTCGCCGATGCATCGGCGACGTCGGCGGCGCATCGGCGCTGCCGTCGTGGAGAGAATCGGGCTCCACCTCAAGCCGCACTGCCGATGCGGCGCGACACTCTGACCCCATCCACTCGGACCCCATTTGGGAGGCCTGGATTCTGGCAGCCCCAGAACGTCACGCAAAGGACTTGCCGTCGCTCGGACGTCCATCTCCCGTGCATTGTTCGGTTTCGTGCGTGTTTGTTCTGCTCAATGGTGCAGGATGGTCCTCGATGGTTCTCGCCGAGAAAAAATGCAAACGTCCAAGCGATGCCAAGGGACTGCAAGGCCGCAGACAGACAGACAGAACGTCACGCAGCCTCGTCTCTATCAGGGAGGAATATTTGCCGAAGCACTGCCCGAAAATTCACCCGACTGTGACCGAAGCCAGCGACAGGTTTTTCCGAACGCGCCGAAGTGTGACCGACACTTTTGGTTCGAAGCAACAGCGATTTTTCAATGTCGATGCCAATTTCGGAATCACCCTGTTTTCAATCACAAGCGCGGCAACGTGTTCAAACCTCCCCCTGCCCCCCCCCTGCGCGCGGCCGAACATACCTTTCTGGCCGATAGGGGGCTGGGCGTCATGAGGTACGCTCTCGACGCATGCGACCTGCTCCATCCCCAGACATCCACCGCTATGATGTTTTCCAATCCGCGGCCCCAAAGGTCCCGACCCGTGCCTCGGGAGTGGTTTTTCGTCCCAGATACATTTCTGATGGTCCCTGGGCCCGATAACGGACCCCGGAATCCAGGAAAAACCACCGGATTGAAAAAATCATGTCCCCGGATCTCTTGGTTTAGGTCGGGCCTGTCCCCCTACAGACGGAGTTAGAACGAAAAACACAAATATCCCAACAATGCGCAATACGATCAACAATTGATAGAAAAATCGTCTCCCGACTATTTTTCATTATTTTTGAATAGTCCTCCTGTAGAGGGACGTGCCCGACTTAACTCTGGGTCCTCCTCCACACCTCAGCGGCCCCCAGATGTGTACCCCCAGGAGGGCCCAGAATCGAATCGACAAGTCGGATCGGAAGTCGACATGAATCGGATCGGCAGCAGAGTCGGGAAAAGTCAAATCGGCAGCAATCGGCAGGCTAGCAAGCCTCCATTGAAGCATCGGCACTCAAATCGGAATCCGGACTAGAATCGATCGGAATGGGAAACCATCGAAATCGAATCGAGTCGAGTCCAAGGAGTCGAAACGAGCCGTGTGCCCCTGCCCCTAGCTGCAGGCAGATCTCGAAGAACAAATGAAAAATACCCAAAACATGCAAAACACAGTTGTTTAAAAATAAGAAAAAAACGTCGTCCCCAGACTATTATTTGCTATTTTTGAATATTCCTCCTGCAGAGGGACACGCCCGACTTAATAATGGCCAGCGGCACGTGCGCGGCCCAGAGGGGGGCCAGTGACGTAATGAAATAAGAAGAGGCGCCATGAAATCTGAGGAAACATCCTGGCCCCCGCCATTATATCGCCTGGGTTGTGGGCTTAGGTCTAGTGGATGTTCGTTGGAATCTCGTGGGAGGCCTCTCGGGGGCCTCTTGGAGGGAGTTTTTGTTCAGCCTCTCGGGACCCTCTTCGGCCGTTTTGGGCGCTTCTTGGGGCGCTCTGAGGCCGTCCTGGGGCCCTCTTGGAGGCCTCTGTGGCCGATCTGGGGTCCCCCCCCCTAGTCTCAGGTCGGGCGTGTCCCCCTACAGGGGGATTCTCGACGGAAAATTATAAAACTCAAAAAAACTCAAAAATGGTCAAAAAGATAGCCCAAAATAGTCCCCAGACCATGTTTTGCCTATTTTTGAACACATTCCTCCTGTATGGGGGACAGGCCCGACCCAACCCCAGCCATCGCCCCCCTCTTGGGCGCCCCCGAGGGTCGAGACGAGCCCTCCGCCCCCGCCCGGCGCCCCCTCTCGCGCCCGGCGCCCCCTCGCGGGCGGCGGCGGCCCCCCCCCCCCCGGGGGGCGGCCGCGGGCGGGGGCCCCCTCGGGATCTTCCCGCAGTCGTCCACCTGGGCGGCGGGGCCCGGGCCGCGTCGGCGGGGGGCGGGGCGGAAGGCCGAGATCGAAGGGCTCGGCCGGGCGGCAAGGGGAGGCGTGGCCCACACAGAGGGGGGGGGGCGAGAAAGGCCCCAGAGGGCCCCTGCAGGGCCCTTCTCTTCACCCCTCGGCTCGCCCCCTGGGGGGGAACACAATATAGTCATCGGCCTGACCTAAGGAACGATAAATAAGGAACGCAGCCCCTCTTTATCCCAAGGGATAACGCATAAGGAACGATAAATGATAGATAACGCATAAGGAACTGTAAATAACGCATGTAAAACCTAAGGAACGACCGTCCTTATTCAAGCCGCTCATTGTAGGGTGGCCCCGGGGTGGCCCAGGGGTGGCCATGGCCGAGGGCGGGGCACGGGCCACGTCGGCGAGGGGAGGGGGGGAGAGCTGAGAGCGAAGGACTCGGGCGGGTGATCATGTTAGGTCGGGTATGTCCTCCTACGGGCGGATTTTGGACGAACAATCAGAAGGAGCAAACAAATGATCAAAACTAGTCAGAACTAGTCCACACAAAAATCGTCCGCATACTATTTTCGACTATTGTTGAATCGTCCCCCCGTCGAGGGACAGGGAGGTGGCCCAAACGGGGGGTGAAGACAAGGCCCTGAAGGGGCCTATCAGAGCCCCTTTTGGGCACCCGCTTGCTCCAAAAGGGGCCCGAAAGGGCCCCATGTGGGGCCCTTCCCTCCCCCCCCCCCACTTGGGTCACCCCCCCGGCTACCACCCGCCCGAAGGGCCGCGGCCAAGGCTGAATGCGGACGCGCCGGTGCCGATCTTGGTCCCCGTCTATCTTGGTCCCCATCCACTCGTGGACCATCCTCGCGACGCGGCGACGGCCGGCATGGACCATGACGGGATCGGCGTCGACAAGTCATGGTCATGGTCAGCGTGTTTCTTGAAAGAGAGAGAGAGAGAGAGAAAGAGAGAGAGAGAGAGAAAAAAAAAAAAAGAGAGAGAGAGAGAGAGAGCCAGCATGGACCGCTTGAGGAATCCAATATGGAGGAGTGGATGTCTTTGCGTGGGATCTAGCGGCTTCGGGCGTCTCCATGCACTATTGGATGTCTCTGGACCTCTGCTTAATGCCGCTGCTTGCATCAGTACGTCCTGCGGGGGAGACTCCACCTGCTTGAAGCAGGCGCCAAACACAGCCAACATCTACATGGTGGGGGAGGGGGTGTGTGAGGGCCGCGACGATAGGCAAAACAACGAATTAAACATCGATCTCTATAGAGGCCTCCTAGATGGGTTCGGTGCAGATGGGGTCGGAAGATCGCGACGCCTCGCGCCGTTACATCGGCGATGCACTGGCGATGCATCGTCGACGTCGGCGACGTCAATGTGAAGCAAATCGGGCTCCACATCGAGCCGCCGATGCATCGGCGATGTGGCCCGATCCTCCGACCCCATCTACTCTGACCTCATCTAGGAGGCCTAGACACTACCCTGCCTCGATTTTGAATTGTCCCGGGGACTCCAGAGAGATACCCCTCACAGGCCAAATCGGCCAAACATCTCCTATCGTGGTCTTTTTCACGACGCGAGCACATCTGGGTTCGAGAGCTTCTGGGGGCCTAGGAACCGACCCAGGGCAGGGGAACGAACAATGAATAAAAGAAGCAGTAGGGGCTCGACCACAAGAAGCCTTCCACAAGCAACCGATCCCTGAAACCCCAGGATGTCCATTGACTTCTGGTATTGGGACGTCACGTTTTCCGTCGTAGAACCATCGAAACCCAAGAAACCCAGGGCAGCCTGGAGGCAAGCAGGGGGCTTCTTGGCATCGGTTTCCACTGTAAACGTAAAACTCTGAGATCCACGCGGATTTCTTGGATCGGCGCTGGACCCCCCCCTCCCTGGCGCGCGGAGAGCGCGCCAGGGGCGGCGCTGGAGGCGCCGCCAAAGGGGGGGCTAGCGCGGATCCGAGGAATCCGCGCGGAATTTCGAGATTTTTCGCTCTCCGAGAGTGGACAAGCGCGTTCCACTACTCGCAACTCAACTACTAGCAAATGGCCTGGATCCGCTGCGGGGGATTTGCAATAACGCACATAGTTAAGGGGAAGACCCGTCAATAACGCACATAGTTAAGGGGAAGACCCGTTTTCCTGTCGGACATTTGCGAGTAGGCACCTCGCGAGCAGTGGAACGCGCTCGTCGAGAGCGGGAGCAGGCCGCCTCGATGTGGTACATGCTGTGGCGGTCCAGCCACTGCCGGGCCATCTCCGCGCGCGGCACGCTGATGGCGAGCGGGTCCGCCGGGCCCCACGCTCCCCCGCGGGAGCGGCGGCCGCCGGGGCGTGCTGTCGCGCCACCGTCCGCCGCCCGAGGCTCGGCAGGCATACGGAGGGGTCCAAGGAGTTGGGGTCGGAGGATCGCGCCGCATCGCCGATGCATCACCGATGCATCGCCGATGCGTCGCAGAGGTCGGCGATGCGTCGGCGACGTCGGCGTGGAGAAAACCGGGGCCCACATCGAGCCACATCGCCGATGCGCGATGCGAGAGAAGTGCAGCGTGGCGGAAAACCACCGCCGGACTACCGACCAAACCACCCCAACCTGACCCGAAGACCCAGGCTTCAGGTTGGGGGGGGGGGGTGTGGGTTCCACGTGTGCTTTCTTTCCTGCGTTCCCCGACCCCCCCCCTTGGAAATCGAGGGTTCCCTTGGGCCTGCGGGTCGGGTTGGGCTGGTCTGGTGTGCGGTGACTGATGGGCCTGTTTTCCACCACCACCACCATAAGTTGGAGGGTGGAGGGGGGAAGGAGGGGAGGAGGAGGAGGAGGAGGAGGAGGAGGAGGAGGAGGAGGAGGAGGAGGAGGAGGAGGACCCCCCACTCCAACTTATGGTGGTGGTGGTAGAAAACATGCCCATCAGTGACTTCTTGCGTCCCTTTTCGAGCCAGGATGATCTGTGAGAGTCCCGGGGCCCACATCTGGGCGACACCGCCCGGGGCGCACAGATCCCGCAACGTCCAGATCCCTCGGGGACTGGCAGCCCCCCCCCCCCGGCCAGGCAGTCCTGGCCGCCCCCCACAGGGCCCCCGAGCACTTCCAGCTGGCCTCAGCTTGGGCGCGCATTTCGGGAAACAAAGAGTGACATAAGCATAAAAACTCGGAGGCCCGCGCGGATTTCTCGGATCGGCGCTGCACCCCCCTCCCTGGCGCGCGGAGCGCGCCAGGGGCGGCGCCGGAGGCGCCGCTGGGGGGCCCCAGCGCCGATCCGAGAAATCTGCGCGGACCTCGGAGTTTTTATGTTTATGTCACTTTTCGTTCCCCTAGAATTGAAAGAGGGGGGGTGGGGCACGGTTCCATTTTCGGGCCCTGACGGCCCCCCCTTGGGCCCAGACGGGCTCCTCTAGGAACCCAAAGGGCCCCTCTTCGGCAGCCCTCGCTGCCCCCTGGTGCACTTCCGCCGCATTACCACCCAGAGCTCCGACGGCGCGAGTAAAAAAAAATGCAACCTCGCAAGCAATCACCACCGGAGCCCCAGACCCTAGCGTTTTCTGCGCCCTGTTTCGAGCCGGATCGGTCTGTGAGGCTCCCAGAGCCTGAAGTGGGGCGCAAACGCGCCGCTCGGAAAACTTGAGTCGCCGGGATCTCAGGGTACCTCGCGCCCTCCAATCAACAGGCCCCATCGGGCGCTGCCAGAACTGGGTTTAGTGGGACTTGGTTTAGCGATGTGTACTGGGGGACGCACCCCCCGCCCCGTTCCACTGACCAGAACTGCCGTCACCCGAAAAAACACCAGCTACGGCAGACCTGGCTTAGTGTTTCTGGCCAATTTAGGGGCTCCGGGGCCCTAACACTAACCGGGTCCCCTTACCTTAGAGAGCAGAAAATCCACTCCGATAATAAGCACCCCGACAAGCGAAGCCGTTTAGTAAACGCACCCATGGAAGGCATCAAACAGGACAGGGCTGCTTCGTAAACGCCCAGGGCTGTCGAGTAAACGCGAATTGTGGGGGTCGGGGTGGTTTTTCCACCCTTGATACCTGGGGCCCTGGCCATGCCCGACAATCAGCAGGCGCCCGCGAGAAATGCGGGGCGGTCCCGGGAGACGCTCCGGCACAGGCCTCTGGCGGCCCCGTTCTGCGGGCCCCCGCGCCGCAGAGGGAGGCACGGGGGGCCGAGGCCGCCACTTAGATGAAGGGGAATTGGGACACACAAATAAATACACACAAATAAAAGTATCCCCCATATTTTCCCATATTTTCTGGGTTCTTGTCTTCCCCCCCACTTCCCATATTTTCCCATATTTTCTGGGGAATCGACGATTAATTGTGTCTGTGTGTTTCTTTCCCTCCTGATTAGAGGCCTCCCAGGTGGTGTCGGAGTATGTTGAAGGGGCCCAGGGACACACAAATAACTCTGAGCAGACACAAATCCCAGGATTCCACCCATCTTCCCATATCTTCAGGGTCTTCGTCTTCGCCCTTTCCTGTACTTCCCTGGGGATCGGCGATTGATTGGAGGCCACCTAGATGGGGTCGGAGTAGATGTGGTCGGAGGATCGCGCCGCATCGCCAATGCAACGACGATGCATCGCCGATGCATTGGCGATGCAACGGCGATCGCAACGATGCATCGACGCTGCCGGCGTGGAGAAACCCGGGCTCCGCATCAAGCCGCATCGCCGATGCATCGGCGGTGCGGCGCGATCCTCCGACCCCATCTACTCCGCCCCCACCTGGGAGACCTAGAGCCATATGGGCTGCTCGTGTGGACGAAGGAAAATGACATAAACATAAACTTTTGGCGCTCCGCGCGGATTTCTTGGATCTGCGATGGCCCCCCCCTCCCTGGCGCGCGGAGCGCGCCAGGGGCGGCGCCGGAGGCGCCGCCTGGGGGACCCCAGCGCAGATCCAAGAAACCCGCGCGGAGCGCCAAGAGTTTGTGTTCATGGCGTTTCTTCTTCTTCGAATCTGGGCTGCTCGTGGGGGGCCTGCCGATCGGCGGTGGACAAACCTTCCTTTAGTAAACCTCCCCTTAGTGAAAAGCGCCTGGGACCGAAACCGACGGAGCTGGACCCGCAAAAATGGCGGCCGCGACGCCCCCTCGCGAACCGAAAACGGCCAATTCCTTTATCGACGTGTCGGGGTAGGAGGTCTGTCCACCCCCGAGTTTTTTCTTCTTCGAATATCTGCTCGTGGGGGGCCTGCCGAGGCCAACCGGGGCTGCCCCGTGGGGGACGCCTGCTCGCAGCGCGCAGCCGGACCAGCCCGAGGTCCTGCGCACGTGGGTGTGGCGGGCTCCGGGCGCGGGCCTCGGCCCGTGAGACTGCCCAAACAATACTGTCAAAAACCCTAATAAGGACGCGCGGCAAGGACGCAAGACCCTTGGAGGCCGAAGTTGGGATTTTTTGGGCGGCGGACGACGGAAACCTCAAGGACGCAAGAGCAAGGAAGAGCAGGGACGCAAGGGTACCCTGAGCAAAGTCGCGCGTCCTTATCAGGGTTTCTGACTGTAGCGGGGCTCTGCTGACCCAGGCCAATCCAGGCCCGGGTCAGTCGGGATCCTGCCAGACGCAAGTCGGGCGTATCCTTCTCTACAGGGGAAATGTTCAAAAAGAGTTCACAAAATAGTATCGGGACGATTACTCTATTATTCTTGAACATTTTTGGAATATCTTTGGTGTCTTTCAAATTTTTCGTCCAAAATCGGCCTGTAGGGGGACAGGCCCGACCTATTGCCAAATCCTGCAGGGCCCTGCACCCAAGCCCGGGACTCAATGGGACCCTGGCTCTGCAGGATCCTGCAAGATCCGGCGCTCTGACTGAACCCCGTTTGCACTGACCTGAGACGAAGCCAAGACGAGGATCGAAATTTCGGGCGAGGATTTATCGAAGATCTGTGAAATCTGGCAGCTGTGGAGGATGTCTCGGGGGCCGCGGCCTTCTCAGAGCTCTGACTAACCCCCGTCTCTTGAGCCCCGGCCGAGACTGGGCGAAACCGCCCGGTGTGAAAAGCTTGCAACGCCACCATCTCTGAGCATCGATTCACCGATCCCCACCCGCACTCGCGTGGCCTTTTGCCCTCCTGGCCAGTGGACCCCCCTAGATGAGGGCACAGGCAGCTCCCGTCGGATCTCGAAGGGCATGTATCCCCAAGTGGGGGGACGAGGTGGTGGGGGTCTCGATGGGGACGGGGATGGGAATGGGGATCGGCGAAACGATCCCGAATCTCAGGGGCAAAAAAACGGGTCAGATGCTCCTTCTGGGGACCTTTTTGGAGCCAATCGCCCTGCTCGTGCTGGAATGGAACTGGGGTCGAACATGTTCATTAGGTGTGCCCCAGGAAGGTCCCCAAAACTTGAGCAGGGACCGACCGTCCCGGCATTCCTATAGTCCTACCACGAAATGTTCTTAGAACCCCAAAATGTTCTAAGAGCAAAAGCAATGTTCTTAGAGCATGAACCCGATGTGATAAAACAAAACAGTATCCGCCAGAAATGTTCTAAGAAGATTTCGTGGAAACCACGAAAGGTTCTTAGAACATTGTTTGGTGGGGCTATAGGCGAGCCGGGACGCTTCGCCACTGCTTGAAAAACGAGCATCGGAAACGGGGGCCTGCGGCCGACGGGGCCACCCCCTCGGCTAGCGCTCGATCGCCATCGCCCCGCCGCGGCGCCGCACGCGCGCGCGCGCCTGCGGGAGCGGAGCCGCCCGCCGGGCGCCCTGTGGGCGGGGGGGGCGGCGGCAGCGGGCGGAGGGGGGGGGCCTGCGCGGGCCGCGCCCCCTGAGCAGGGGAGGAGGAGGAGGAGGAGGAGGAGGAGGAGGAGGAGGAGGAGGACGAGGAGGAGGAGGAAGAGGAGGAGGAGGAGGAGGAGGAGGAGGAGGGGGAGGAGGAGGAGGAGGAGGGGGAGGAGGGAGGAGGAAGAGGAGGAGGAGGAGGAGGAGGAGGAGGAGGAGGAGGAGGAGGAGGAAGATAAGGAGGCACGAGAAGAGGACGGGGGCCCCCGGATGGCCAGAGCCTCGTCAAAACGCCAGGATACCCTCGCCCTGGAATGTCTGCACGTCCACAGCCCCCGGGGTGGTCGGTGTGCAGCGCATGCCTGCCAGCGTGGTAGCCCACACAGCAGCGTGGTCGACTTTGGATGTGCACGCGAGAGCTGTGCGGTGCAATAGTATGTAAATAAGTAAGTAAGTATGTTTGTATATACGTTCGTATGTATGTATGTATGTATGTCTGTCTGTCTGTCTGTCTGTCTGTATGTATGTATGTATGTATGTTTGTATGTATGTATGTATGTATGTATGTATGTATGTATGTA